CACGGAGTCCGTGTCATAATAAAGTACCTGCTCTTGGAGGGTGTCCAAGGCCTCGTACAGTTTAAGTCGCGCCCACGCTGTGGTAAAACATGCAATGAAGATGTTTGTCTTCACACTTGGAACAACATTGTCTTTGACTTCCGTAAACACTACCTCGAGGACATCGTCCGTGCAGATGCGTAGATTTTTTACTAAAAAATTGGACAAGAACAAATAGGGGTATAGTTGGGATGGTTGCGTGATGGTGACTGTCTTGGGTTTATTTTGTCTCTCCCCAAACTTGCCCCAAAATGAATTCATCATCAATTTCGCTGTAGCTCGTTTGCCTGGATTTTTCTCAATCTTGTCGGGGTCTAATTGAATGTTCTCATGTCGGAGATAATTCGCAATGTAATGTTGACGTTTTTCAGGGTCATCTCCCACTTCCGTAGGCCATCCGCTCGCTTCTTGTTTCAGCTTTAGAAACGTGTTTACATATTGTGCAAACAGCCCCTCTCGTCGCTGATTTTCGGCAAAATGCCACACTTCATAAAGTTTTACAACTTTGTAACCCTTTTGAACAGCTTTTTGGATTTCAGGCGTTGTCCATGTCCCTCTTAAGGTTCGTTCTTCGATCGTGTGGCAGCAAGTACTACTTCTCGACAGCATGACATTCATTTGCTCCTCTTTCACGCACGTTCTGCAAAGAGGAAAAGTGAGTTTGTTTCCACTGCGCACGGGCAAGACTGGGTGGAATAGACCAGCCGGAGGAAGAATATCCACAGTCGCCAGTCCAAAATAATCTTTGATGTCTTGATTGCGTGGGTTTGTGATGATGGAGGGATGTCCTATAGGGTAAACGCTATTTTTGTTTACCCAGGGGTAGAGGGAGGTTACGTCAACATAACGTATTTCCTCCCCCTCCCCTGCCACCGCATGGAGCGCTATAGCACCAGTCCTGCCCCCAAAGAACGCTTGTCGAGGTTCGAGAGGTTCCACCAATGACAGCGTGGATACGAAGTTCTTGACAAAAGGATTTGTCTTGCATGCCTCATCCCACTGGCATTCCCACATGACTTTGACATGATAGCCGGCTGTTCTTAGGTTTTGTTCCTTGGCAAGAGTGGCTCTATATAATTCTTGCATTGTTCGGTCGGGATTTGTTGCATGCTTACAGTGTCGATTCTTGCTGTGACAAGTTTTGCAGCCGTGCCAGAAGCAGCCATTAAATTCATAAATGGTGTTGCTTGCAGGATTCAGTCCATCCACAAAGTAGGAATCTGTTGGTGTTGTGACACGCTGTTCCCCTCCATTTCTCACATGGAGAATGTGATCTGCACTGGCACCTTTTTTTGGGATACGATCTTCCTCATAGTAAAGCCACTGTAAAGCTTTGGTCGATTGGTTGACATTGGCCCCACGCCACCCTTTTAGTGGTTCTACGGCAATCGTATCTTCTTGAAGACAATGTTTTCGCCAATACAAATGACAAGCTGAAGCAATAGTTACACATTTTTCAAATGGGTTAAACCCCGCATGACTCTCAAATTCCGTTGCAAAGGCTTCGCAGCCTGCTTGCAGAAGAGCGACGTCAGAGCGACAATACTGTTCCATTTCTTTTTTGAAATCATATTTCACATTGTCTCGTACCTGCTTTGCGTGCCATTCTTCCAATTCTTTCTGTTTCTTTTCAGTCATTCCTTCGGGGTCAAAATATTCCAGCTCGGGAATTTGACCCACATACTCTTGATGATGCGGCAGATTAAACTGGTGAGGGAAAAATCCCTTTTTGAATTCTTCCAAGTTGAAAGTCTTCGGAAAATCCGCTAGCGGAAATGGGAGAAAGCACAATGAGTCCTTAAACATGAGAGAGCCGCTCTGAAATGCCAGCACTTTGCATCCGATGGTTAGCTGATTTTCGACGGTGCGCTTTTGCTTGTACAGTTCATTAATTAAAAATACGCCATCAAACCCCTTGAGGTTATGAAATAATACAATAACCTGTCTATCACGGTCATCATTTGGTATGTCCGTGGCTTCATCCAAGTCATGCAGAAACGTACAAACACAGTCCTTGCCTTTGTGTGTAATTATCGTTTCCGTTTCGCTGGTCCTGTAGCACAACATGATGGCTTCAAATTGTCGGTCGGGCAATTGCATCGCCTCTATGTCGGCCCACACGAATAAGGGTGGAGGAAGTGGCTGTTTTTCGTTTCCTTCTTCATCCATTTGCGGTTGGGACTCTTTTTCTACGTGAGTCTTCATAAAACATTTGTGGCTTTGCAAGTGTACCACTTGCTTGCAAGAAGGGCATGCGGTAAAACCGCACCGATGACGCTTGCCTTTGATAACATGATATTCGGCATAACATTTCAGACATGTCTTATGTGTCTGACATTGCTTTGTCGTGAGGTGATGCGCAAAACAGTTGTCTCCATAAAAGCTGCAATTGCAGCTATCACAGATCTTTGTGGGTTGTCCATCTCGTTTGTAATCGGTACAATTTGTCCTGTTGCAGGAATGGCAGGAGCGCCCTTCACAGGGGTGATGTTTTGCGTCTTTAACATTATAACCTCTCCCGCATAGCGAGCACCAATAAGACCTGTTCAGGAAGGCTGAGAACGATGTGCAACCATCGTAATGATCATCAGACTTGATTAAACAAATTTGCTTGGGGGCAGGATCACCCCTAAAAAATAAAAAAAAGGGATGTGTGCGACACATTACTAATAGTTGATACGTCGGTTTTAAATATTCTTGGAATTTGTTACATTCCTCCCATCCACACGGGCCAGGATCCACGCCTGCTTGTTGGCAAAGTTCACGGGCGGCTTTTTCTTGAACCGCCTTTCCCTCTTTCATGTAGCGCCAATGAAATGAGGCATCATTGGAGTCGTCTTTGTGAGCATGTGCTATCATTGTAGCAATGGCTCTTGGACAGCATAAATCATCCCTATTTCTGATAGGAATGATGCAACGTTTCCGTTTATTTTCATTATCCAGACATCTCTGCCCAGGATTTCTGTTTTTTTTCCCACGACCAGGTTGTGGTGTCTTGACAAACACTACTTCTACGTTGAATCCTTGATTGTGATCAAAAGACTCATTACTGTTGAGCTTTGCCGCTAAATTGTCGAAAAGTTCATGCAAGCGAGTGGTACGTTTCAAAAATTCGCCCACTCTAAAATTGATGCTTTGAAAAGCATGAGAAAAACCATCAGCGGTAATTGCGAAATTTACGAAATCAAGCGGACTTCTTCTCTCTCGTAGGACTTCTGTTTGTATTGCTGTATGCAAAGCGTTTGTCAGTTCTTCACCAACATTGTCACCCATCACGGGTTCTCTTTGTTGGTTTAGTTTTGCCCTAAACTGAGCTCTTTCTACGACCTCACGCCAGCGGCGTCGTGGACCAATAGCATTCAAAGTAAATTGGAACAAGGGCTTTTTCACTGCTCCTCCCACTTGCTGCGTTTTTTCAAAGTCGTCCATGGTTTTGTTTAGTAAACGATCATCATCATCGTCGGAACTCAACGTGTATTCGAACAGGCTAGCAGCAGCAGCACCCACTTGCTGCGTTCTTTCAAAGGCATCCATTGCCTCGTTAAGTAATTCATCTTCGTCGGAAGACAACTCTTCCCTGTATCTTTTCATTTTTTGTCTACTTAATAGATCAGACCAACAACAAGTTTTCAAGGACTGCCTCCATCTTGAAAAAGTGATGAAAATGAGGCTGTGCACTCTGTTATATACCCCATTTCTTTGACGTCATTTTGACGTGGCATCCTCTCATTGGCTCCTCAAAACGAGGCTACTCTCTGAATGGTTCCTATCATTGACGTCATGATTGACACCTGTCACTCATGAATGTCTTTTTTTGTTCTTCTATTTTTTCTCTTCTTTTTTTCTTCTAGGGTTTTTTTTTTTCTTGGTTTCTATCTTTTTCTTCTTTTTTTGTTCTTCTAGAAATTTTTTTGTTTTTTCTTAAGAATTTTTTTTTTTTCTTCTTCTAGGTTTTTTTTTTTTTTTTTTAAAGAGAGAAGAAGAAGAAGAATAAGAATAAAGAAGTTTGAAGTCGGACTCGAACTCATGACCTCTGAATCTGTATTCAGTGTGCGCGCGATCCCACCTACACTACTACGGATAAGCTAAGATGACCTATGCAAATTGAAGTAGTCCATAGTTTGCGCGCGTTGCCTTTCACTCGACCTTGTATCAACTCGGACTGCAAGTCCAGGCTCGCATGTACTCGCATCGGCTTCAATGCATCCGAAATGGAATAAAAAAGTTACATTAGACTTGGATCAACTCAAAGCTACTCTCAAAAAATCATTTTGCATTGCAAAAAAGAAAGATAATCACCGTCGGCCTCTCTTTTCTGTTCGACCGCCATTTTGTTTTCTTCTTGGCATTTGCGTACATTTTTTTTTAATGATTGTTTGCTGGTTGGGAAGAAAAAACCACCGAGTTGTACTCATTTACTAATCGTGAACCTGTTTCACTTGGAAAAAAGAAGTCACCAAAGTCATCTAGGTTAACTCAAGTTTTCCTTCACCGTGCGTGAATTGAACTCGCGACTCCCGATTGCCCCGTATTGCACCACGTGGAGTTACACAGAGAGATGGGAGTTCAATTCACGCACGGAGAAGGAAAACTTGAGTTATGCTAGATGAGTTTGGTGTCTTCTTTTTCCAAGTGAAACATGATCACGATTAGTAAATGAGTACAACTCGGTGGTTTTTTCTTCGCAACCAGCAAACAATCATTAAAAAAAAATGTACGCAAATGTTGAGAAGAAAACAAAATGGCGGTCGATCAGGAAAGAGACATCCACCGATTTCTCTTTTAGAATCTGCGTTGATTTTCAAAAAAAATGCAAGAGTTTACTCATGTAGTGAGTTGGTAAGGATTTCTTTTATGTGGTTGGAAGGAAAGTAGGTGAGGAGGTTCCTGTTTTTGTACTATTAAAAAACAACACAATATAACCAGTTCGACAAGGTGATTTATTGAATATCTCGTTGCCAATGAAATAATTGATCAATATCGTTATGCGTGAAACCCAAGAATTCATAATCATAGGTACCATATTTATTTAAATTGAAAGAAAATAAACACAATAAAGCTTCAATGACAGAATCTTTGGGTCTCATAAAATTCCAGCAAAAATCCATGTTGCCTCCCCATTCTGGCGGACTGGGATGTTGTTTTTCTACCATTTTCCATTGCCATTCTTCATGAATGTCATGAAAGGCGAGTTGGGGTAACAGTTCCATCAGAGTATCTGCAAGTTGACTTCTGTAAGTATACCATTGTTTACTCCAGGCTTCCACACTAGGAGGGATTAAGTGTACATTTTTATCCATACCAAATTTTTGAATCATCGCATAAGCCACACTCCACACCCAATCTCTGGCCCAACCAGTGGTGGAGAGTTTATCTTGTAAATTTTTATCTTGAAGTATATACATGAGTAGCAATCAGTTCCTGGGTAAACTCTTGGTAGATTTGAGTGTTCAGCCGATACAATTCGTAATTTAAATTGTCAAAGGTGTACTCTTGATTAGAAATAGCATCTTGAATCAAATCACGAATAAACTCTTTGTAAGTCGAAGAATTACTGAGCGGATGCTGGCTGAGTAGTTTGTCCATGCAGTTCGTCGCTCAATCGATGCAAGGTGTTGGAAAAATCTTCTAACCAATGCGTATAACACTCGTGAAACGTATACCCTGCCGCCAATCCTCGTTGGATTCTTTCTAGCATGTAATCTTCCCAAGAGGGAAAATCACTCTGGTGAAGAGTCTTGTAATAATCTTTCATTCGCTCGAGCTCGTTCTGCGCGTCGACTTTTTCTGACCAAATGACGTTCATGCATGAGTTGTCGTAGTTTTATACGTCTTTGTTGAAAAAAGGAGAGCACTGGATTGGCCGATTCATCTCGTAAAGCTTGTTTTTTTAACAAGATGGTTTGCCCCATGGGTTGATACACCTCGACTTGTGGACAAAAATGCACTTTCTTGTTCATCTTAAAAAGGTACGTCGAAAAAGATGTCTCATCTCCTTTTTACCTTGTTCTGTAAACTGTCTCGATCCTACAATCCCCACATGATCATAGAGAGTGAGAGAACAAACACTTTTCAAGAGTTGAAACTGACATTTTTTCACATACGAACCCTTTTGTAGATGATAATAGATAAACTCGTACCACTGGTTGTCGGTCAAGTCAAACAGGTACACGCGTTTCCCCATATCCAAAGCCAGTTGAACGGTCCATCCGGTTCCTCCTTGGACCGTTGTCTTGTTCGCGTCTAAGTACCCAAAGGCATACAGAGCATAAGATTGTCTAGCAATAAAATAATTTCGAACCATTAATTCTTCAAAATAAGTAGCTGTACCAATAGGACTTTTACGTTGAAGGGTTTGGTTGGCTCGTTTGATGGATTCACGAGCATGATAAAGATCGGCTTCAGTGGGTTGAATGGGACTAAGACATTTAGCTCTGGGATGATTGGGACCTATTTTGATATCCAACCGACATTCATACGCCAAAGCCAATCGTTCAGCATATTCATCGGCTCCTTGGGCTCCACCGGTCACAATGGTATATTTTTCACCCGCTGGGTGTTGCATGGGTTCTTCTGCAAACTCGTCTTTTTTTTCCACAAAATTTCTGACTTGTGTCCATGTTTTTGAAGGCTCTGCAGGAATGGAAGAAACCATGGTTAGAATGAAGAAATGATTGAGGATCACTAGTAATATACTTGTTTTGAAAAACATGTTAAACGGGTTTTCTTTTTAAAAAACAAGTGAAACCAGTACAAACAGGTGAAAACCAGTTAATCCAGTACAAACGGGTTAAAACGAGACCATCCAGTTGTTCCGCTAGCGCGTTGCAACAAAATGATTGGTTGAAGATCAGGTGATCGTGCTTATATAGTCTCGGAGCAACTGGCCATTTTCATCAGTTGCATCATGCAGTCACCAGTTGAGGCTCTACCCGTGAAACGAAAATATACCAAGAAAGATAAACCTGACTGCAAAGAAAAAAAGAAGAAGAAACCCAAATGGGAAACAGATTCTCCCAGCGTTTTGAAGACCGATCCTACCAAAGAAACACCAAAACCTATTCTTTATGAGATGAAAGATGGGCAATGGATCGAAGAAAAAACAGAGCAAGAAAAAGATCAGGCCATTCAAGCCTTGTTGGCTGAAGTGGACATGATCCCTCAAATTGGTAGTCCACCTGGACCTCAAAGTCGCAGTCCACCTCGAGCCCCTTTAGACGTGGTGGATTTGGTAACGTGCCCCTTCCACTTGAAACCTCTCACTCGTAGGAAACCACCCGATGAGATTGAAAAACAAGAAGTATTGTTTTGCCCCGAGGTAGACTGTCCCGTGTTCCTATTTACAAATCATATCGATGCTTATCTACAAGCCCTGCATTACACACTACCCAGTCATGATGTGATGGAATGTTGGGACATTCTGCAGTGTTTCTGCCATTTCACCCCTGTGCTGAAACTGAGTCAATCGGAAGCCAATCCCAATCGCTTGTACTTGAGCTGCAACAATTGGAACAAAGAGCTGAAATGCCCTTACTTTCAGTGGTTTGATCAACCTTTTACCAACAAGAATGCAGCCTGGCAAGATGAAATGCGATTTGAATTCAAGCAGTTACCCGTACCAACTAGTCGAGAAGAAGCCAAAAGAAAAGCGCAAGAACACAAAGAAGCTTGCAAAAAGATGGCTTTTGTGCAGTACTTTAGCAACTTGAAAGCAGACATGGAGGAAAAACGAAAAAATCTGATGAAAACAGGTAGCAGCAGCGGCTGGGGGGCTCCGCGCGAAGACGGCGCGCGCGAAGACGGCGCGCGCGAAGACGGCGGCGGTGGCCCGCGGGAAGACGGCGCGCGCGAAGACGGCGGCGGACGCAAAAGTCCTTTTGTCTACTATACAAGAGCAGTCCCTTCATCCAACAATTGGGGTATCACTGAGCAACAGTATGAAGGAACAATTAACTTTTGATGAGACATTACCTTGGGGGTCTTTACCCTGGTTTATTCAAGAACGTATTTATTGGCGACCGATGGTTCACGCACGAAATGAGATGGGATGGAAAGCCTTGCATGAACAATTGTTTCCATTCGACTATGGAAAACATCATTGTTGGGATTGTGGAAATGAGTTGACGAAAATGCGTCGGTTTAACGAACATGATCTTCCTGCAATTACATTTCTAGTAGATTATAAAGTTCATAGTCCCTTTAAGTTTTGTTGCAAGAAATGTAAACTGTTTGGTAGAAGAAAACTATATCGTGTACAACCTAGTCACCAAGGCATGTTTACTCGAACCGATCTACCATTTTACAAAGTACATGTTTTTGGGTATCTTGTGGTTAATATACATCGTCCATCGTCCAATGCGTATAATGGTCATTTATTGACTGGTTATCATGTGGGTTATGAAATCAATGCAGTCAGGAAACTCACTCGATATTATGATGAAGACAATGACTATACGCGAGAACATCATATTTTTAGACCCATGTTTTTCTTCCATGCATATAGAGTTTTATTTGATTAAGAGTCGGGAAAAAAGTGTATATAGTGAGTTGTCATTAAAGTTATTTTTTAAAAAAGACAAAGAAAATGTGGT